ATCATCCAGAGGCGTCACCGCCGAAATGCCGCCAAAAATCATTTTGGCGGCGATGCCTCTGGATGACACTGCTTGTTGGCAGCATTTCGGCGGATGCTCGTTCGCCGGCCAGTACGACCCCTTTTTTAGATATATATTTCTTCTCATTCCAAGACACAGGGAGCAGTACAGTGTCACCATTCATTCCTGTCCATGGCTTGGTCCTCCTTTAAGCCCAGCCTGGTCATATCCCTGTGTACAATGTCCTGACATCTAGTTGGGGGTTGGCCTCTAGGCCTGACTGATCTTGGTTGCATTTGCATTATATTCTTGGGCATCCTATCATCTGTTTGTGTTCTACAATGTCACCACCACTGTCATCTTTTTGATTGCCGCCAATCCCGTACACTGATTTCACATCCTACTCTCCTTCTAACTTCACTTGTGTTAAAATCATTTCACTTTACTGTTGCCATCTTCCAAAGAACTCTCTACTGCTTCCAGCCTTCTGATGTCTGCTTAATTTTATGCAACTCTGACCAGTCTGTAGGGTTATACTGTTAGGACACTGTTTTAATCAATTTTCATTTTGGTGGCAAACAATGTTTTTATGAGTCCATAATTTCATCACTTTTGTGCAGAACTTTTGGCTAAGACACAGCTCCTTTTAACCATTGGCATTTTTCAAGCTTCCTAGGTACGCACAAGATTTTACTTTTTCTATGACTTCACCTCGGTTGCATTTCAACACTATATCTATTGTTCCTTTTCCAAGCTGCAACCGCTTTGTCTTCTTGGCATTTATTGTAAGTCCAAGTCAACTGCACCAATTTTCTAAGGCAGTGAAGAGTATCATCCGTTCACACTGAATCAAATGCCTTTGTGAAGTCAATGAAAACGGTAAACATCTTGACTCCCCATTCTCATTTCCCCCCCGCCCCCATCAACTATCGGAGCATGAATATCTGATCAAAGCAATTTGAGCCTGGTGTGAAGCCACATTGTTCCTCACCTACTATTTCCTCTAAAACTGGTCTTAATCTGTTGACAATTACTTTCATCATGATTTCCTGGTACTGATAATAAGTGTGTACCACTATAATTATTCAGATTGGTAGGATACCCTTTCTTCGGGATTAGTACAACTATTGCTTTTAGTCAGTCATACAGTACCTCCTCTTGCTCCCATATCTTCTTATATATTTTTCCTAATGATTTGATAGCATTTGTCCTGCCGGCTTGTAGCAGCTCAGCTGTTATATTGTCTGTTCCTGCAGCTTTCCCATTTCTTAATTGCTTCACTGCTCTTTCTATTTTTTCTTCTGATGGTGGTTCAGTGCTGAAATCCATTCTGTCTTGCAATCTGCCCTGTTCATCTAGCATGTCGAGAATGCTTGCATCTCGATGAACAACAGCGTTCAGCACTTTGTCAGAATGTTCCTTCCATACTTGCAGCATCTCTTCATCATTTGTTGTCAGTTCACCAATAGTCTTTCTTACTGCTTGCATCATTGGCCTAATTGTGTTTCCATACAACTTAACCTTTTTATATATCATTTTCATATCTTATTTTCTTCGTGCCTCCTTTAGCTGTGGAACCTCTTCTTTCCAGAACTTTTGCTTGTCCAACTGTTGTGATTTCTTCACCACTTTGGTAACACTTTCACTTCTTCCACTTTCCCAGTAGTCTTGACTTGTGCACACTTTCCTTGTCATGTTCTTGTTTCATTGCTTGTCCAGACTTTCATGGTTTGCTTACGCCTTCCAATAACTTCCTTTGCTGTATTTTATATTGCTTCCTTGAATGTTTCCCATCCAGTCTGGAGTGCAATTTCTTCATCATTGCAAATTAATGGTTTGAAATAACCTCCAAGTCTCACCTTGTATGTCTTCCTCACAGAGCTATCCCTTAATTTATCAAGATAAAATTGGGCTCCAGTTGCACCCATCTTTTTCTTGGGCTTTAATTTCATATTAATCTTTCCCATTAGCAGTTCATGATAACTGCCACACTTGATATTTTTGTAGACTCTATTATCCAGCACTGACCTTCTTTGCCTTTTACTGATAATAATGTGGTCAATCTGGTTTTTGATATGACCATCTAGTGAATTCCATTCAAACTTGTGCATATCTATGTGAGGAAACTAAGCACTGCCAATAATCAAATTATGCATCTTACCGCAAGTTCTTAACCTTTCCCCATTATTGTTTGCCATCTCAGTGCCATATGGTCCATTGCTATTCATTTGCTGACTATGTCCGTTACCAACATTTGCATTCATATCTCCCATTATCAAAATCATATTATTATCTACAGTGTTACCCAAACATGGATAAAATTAATCTTTCTCTTAGAATATCAGGGTTGGAAGGGAGCTCAGGAGGTCATCTAGTCCAACCCCCTGCTCAAAGCAGGACCAATCCCCAGACAGATGTTTGCCCCAGATCCCTAAATGGCCCCCTCAAGGATTGAACTCACAACCTTCAGCAAGCCAATACTCAAACCACAGAGCTACTTCTAGTGGTGCATAACAGCAGTTCACAGTAATGCATAGTCTATAGCAACCTTGCTATGACAATCTACTCAGACACCAGTTTCCAGTTAGCTGTTCATTGAAGTAACTGTTCTCTTGTTCACTGCTTTAGCAACTCCATCTCTATGCTTCACTTGTCCACTTGAATGTCTGCAATAAAGGAAAGTATAATTTCCATCTGTGACCTCTTCTGTACCCAGCCAACCTTTCTCTTGTATGGCAGCAAAGGAAACTTGTATCTCTTAACTCCTCTGCTATTAGCTCGGTCTGGCCTGGAGTGAATGGAATATTAACATTCCAGCTTGCAATACATGTAATATGTTTAGCCATTGTCTGAAATTCAAGTCCATTTTCATTTGCTAGCTTGATAGGCCTGTGTCAAAATCCATATGTCCATTTGGCTTGCTGTACTGTTTCTATAACAAGTAAGTTTTGGCTATAATTACTTTTTAGGACAGTCCACCCTAACCTCCCCCCGCCTCCCCGGGGAAAACCTGCTGGGCTGCTAGGAACAGGTATCAGCGATTCCACTCTAGTCCACTTGCCTTCCAAGGCTAATGAGCTTAAACTGCTTGGATTTGAAAGCACAGTTTTCCTTCTCCTAGACAGGCTTGCCCTGTGTGCCCCAGTCTGAAATCAGAGTTTCTGTTCTCCTGCATACAGTTGGTTCACAGCACCTCATCCTGTAATATTTGTGTGACGGGTTGGATCCCAGAAACCCCTTTGGGAACTGCCAACTGATGTGCCAAGACTACTTCTGCCCCTGCTTTCCCTGCCAGCCTGCACCCTGTCTTGTTGAGCCAGACATGCCAGTTTGCTCCAACACAGACACAGGATCTGAACCACATGCCCCAAAGCTGCAGACTTAACTGAAAGCGGCTTATAGAAGTGTTTCTGTCTTTAACACCCAGATGCCCAACTCCCAATGGGGTCTAAACCCCAAATAAATCCATTTTATCCTGTATAGAGCTTATACAGGGTAAACTCATAAATTGTTCATCCTCTATAACACTGATAGAGAGATATGCACAGCTGTTTGCCCCCCCCCCCCCGTATTAATACATACTCTGGGTTAATTAATAAGTAAAAAGTGATTTTATTAAATACAGAAAGTAGGATTTAAGTGGTTCCAAGTAATAGAAGACAGAACAAAGTGAAAAGAAGAACAGGAGTACTTGTGGCACCTTAGAGACTAACAAATTTATTAGAGCATAAGCTTTCGTGGACTACAGCCCACTTCTTCGGATGCAACTTCTTCGGATGCATATAGAATGTTCCATGCATAATGGAACATTCTATATGCATCCGAAGAAGTGGGCTG